AATCTGTCTTTAAACCGCGAATTCCATCCTTAGTAACCATTTTGGCCTTGACATCAGCTACCTTTAAACGAAGGGCTATAGCAATATCTTTCTCGTCAGAGTCCTTTTCCAAGAAGGAAAAAGGAGATTCTTCCAAGATAGGTAGACCGACTAAAAAGGAGTACTCTTCCAATGTAGGTAACAGCTGAAAATCTGGGAAGGTAAAGCAATGGTAAAGAGGATCATAAAACTGTAGCAGAGTGGCAAGAAGTCCTTCATCCACTGAGCGACCCAATAAAGATATCAACTTTCCATATTTGTTCTTGAATTCCTCTTGATCTTTGATGAAACCCCACAACTTCTTTAGGTCATCCAATTTGGGACTCTTAAAAGTATATTTCATAGTATGTCTTTCATTTGAAGTCATAGTGACCTACAATGTTCATAAACGAAAGTAAATCCCATGAAGTCCAATGCAGAATGATGTTACATGAATGCAGCAAACACAAGTATTCACATAAGGACACAAAGATAAACAAACAAAGGGGAACCCTAGGTTTGCAACGAGCATGGAGTAAAGGTATACCCTTCCCAAAGGTTATGGACTAAAGTATGTTTGTACCTGCAGAACAAGGTTCTAATGGGACTCAAAGTCATTAGCCCATCTTTCGGATATTGTCAACTTCTCAACTAACTCGAGGGTTAATAATATTCTCAAGAGAACCTCTTTTTAGCGTAGCTTCGCGTAGCATTATTTCGGGAGTACTCCCTCATAGTCCCGCACTACGTCCTAATAAAGGCCAAAGTTGGGTTAAGGTAACTACGGTCCTCAATATCATAGGCTCCAAGGTCGAAAATAGTGAGTGTCTTCACGATTACTCGTTCAACAGTACTATTTCGATAGGGCCTCAATTGAGCGGGATTCTCGATTTAACTTAGTCGGGATTCAACTCCCTATAAGCCTCGTCGAATATATCACCATCCTATCTTAATTTCTCTCAAGTTTGGGTGTAGAACTTTATCTCGCCACTCAAAGACAAATAATCCCAAAAGAAATACAAGAGAAAGCATATAAACAATTAATCAAGTAGGCAGATATATAAAGCAGTAAACAAATAAAATAAGATAGGGAAACCCACTAGAGGCCTCCCCAGTGAAGTCGCCATTTCTGTCGCGGTGAAATTTTGATACCAAACTATTGATTAGTTTGAATCTTTAATTCAATTTTGCAACCGAACTTTGATTTGTCCAAAGGAAGGGGTAAAGATCGAAATTCCCACAATGCAATGCAAATGCAAGCTAGAGATTGTTTTAGGTTCGGGGGTTGGTTAAACTTAGGGAAGGTATTAGCATCCTAAGTTTCTGTAGTACTCTACAGGAACCTCTTGTTTTATGTTTGTTTACTGCTAAGTGTTTATCTGCTTAATGGTTGAAGACCTAGGGGTTTATATCTAAGTATACTCGATAAGATGTCGCATCTTATGCCTACATATCCTTACGGGAGTGGAATTAGAGTACTTGTAGTTCCCCTAAAGGGTTGGAGGAGTTCTTTGACTGTGGTCAAAGTTCCTACGGGTTTAGGGTAGTTTTTTTGATTGGTTTTAGGAGAAGAGATGAGTCTTCATGTTAAGGGAGATATAACCGCCACAAGGTGTAGGAAAATAGTCTTTGCATCGTCTTAAGAAAAGGGCTTAAGTACTCAGATTGTTTGACGAGTATGCCTTTATTTCTCTTAAGGCAAAGTCCCTACGGCTTGATTGTATTGTTGTGGGGTGGAGATTCTATCTCGCTTAAGATGATTTGGCATCTTTCTCTATTGTTTGAATATTGAGTTGATTGTTTGAATATTGTTGTAGTATTGTGTGAGTTTGTATTGTGTTTATTTCTATGTTGTAGTAGAAAGGTCCTTCCTATGGGGTAGGTCCTAAACCTAAGTGATCGACTTGAATGGGATCAAGGATCATGGGGAGAATGATGCAAATGATGTGCAACTACACACAACGTTGAATTATGCGTAGGTTTTTCCTTTGGACGGAATGCGATGCGATAAGAATAAATGATGATGGATATAAATTGCGGAAAATAAAGGCGAGTAAATAAAGGCATACACGAACGCATGAAAGCGATAAGTGAGTGTGTGCATTGTGAATAAAATAAAAGCAGATAAAGGTAAGACAATATATATATACGCATGAAAGCGCTAGGGTGTAGGTGAGTGTGTCGTGAATGTGAATGTGCACGATTGATTAAGTTGCGATGTTGGTTCATTTTTAAACGAATTGATTTTTAAGGGGAATGTTGAGTTGATTTTATGAGAAAAATGTTTTATTTTGATGGGATTTGATTTTAAGCGAGCGTTGAATAAAAGGGAGAGCTTAATTAATTTTAGACGATGTTGGACTTGTTTATTGATTTTAGATGAAAGTTTTAAGTGATAAGTCAATTCTAAAGGGTGACCTTAAATAAAAGATTTCTTAAAATGTCTAAGAAGTTTATTTTATCTTATAAAGAGAAGAAAATGTTTAATATTTTTGTGGAAGGTGTTAATATAAATTAATTATGTATAGGTTAATTCAATTAAGACAAAATTTTCTAAATAAAAATATTAGTTTATTATTATCAAATAGGTTTCATTAAATAAGAGTGATATTAGATTATTTGAATTTATTTGTGAGAAAATGTTATAATTGGAGAAAGGATTAATTTTAATTACGAAATTAGATCATGAATTTGTTAGTTTTGATTTTAGTAAAAAGTTAAGGTTAATTTAGATTTTATAGAAATAAAAGTCTACATGGATAAATTTTATTTAGATAAATTGGTTTTGTTTTTAAAAGGTTATTATTATTATGAGTAAATGACTACCAATTATTTAAATTATGAAATGGTTTTGCCTATATTAAAAAAAACGAACAAATTAATGTACATATCATTATTAATAAAAGTTATGAAGTGATGGGAATAAATTATTAATAAAGTTAAAAAAACATTAAAAAGTTAATTGAATAGAAATGAACATGGCTAATTAAAAATGATTAATTAATTAAAAAAAGGTTGATTAAACGAAAAAGGTGGTTAATTCATTAAAACGGATGATTAAAAGAAAATGATTAGTTAATAGTTATTTAATTAGATTATAATAAAAAAATGGTAGAAAAGGATGGTTATTAATTAATTAGATTAAAAAAAATGTTGATTAAGTTAGATTAATGGCGGATTAGCGGTGATTAGTGGTGAGTGTATGACAAGTGGGTGTGTGATTAACGATAAAATAAAACAAATTCAGAAAAAATGAGAAACCCTAAGTCCCCCCCCCCCCTTTCCTCCATTCTCGATCTCGTCTCTCTCTCGCTCCCATCTCCTCTTCATCCCTTTCGATCCCGACCACCTTTCTGTTCCATCCTCTTCCAATTCTATACCTGAAATCATATCAAAAACATCAATAAATCAAGAACATGGATAAGGGTGAGAGTTTTACCGAAGGTTGGTGGTAGCGTTGGCGTTGGAGCTGGCAAGAATGGGATGTTCCGTCTGTTGAACTTGCGGCGGCCGAAAGTGGTTTCGCTTGCTCACTGAGATAAGTCACCTCGCTCGATCTTTCGGTAGCTGCGATTTCCGTATGAGGGTTTTTTCGTGTTGTTTTCTCTTCTTTCCCCTCTCCTTATATAGGCCTCAGAATAATAATGTCTTTGATTGTTGCTTTGAATGCTGATTGATGTTTTCCAAATTAGGGTGAATCAGATTTGAAAACATTCCTAATTAGCTTGATTGCTATAATGACTTATCAAATTCTGATTTTGTGATTTAATTGAAACTGGATTTGATTTTTTTCTGAACCGAATCTTTACTTCCTCCAGTGGATATTCTTCAATGATTCTTGCTAATCCAATTGCTATCTTTCTGCAGGTGCGAATGATAAGGTATTTTGGGCCAGGGGATATACACACGGCCCAGGGCAAACTCTAATGCTGGTGGTGTGAAGAGATGCGGTGAGCCCAAGGTCTTATCTAAATCATAAAGGGAAAGACTTCTCTAGTTTTCGTTTACACGGTCATTAGAGTTGGAGTTTTCGTTTGAAGGTTCTTGACTTGAAGTTGAGATAACGTTGGTATATGCTCTGTGTTATTCATCCTGGTTGGGTCAGTTTGGAGTTCCCTAAGAATGAAGGAGGATAGTCTACAAGGTAATCTTCTGAATTATCACTAGTTTGATGCGTATGGTGCTATCTCGTATCTGTTTTAATCCATTCTTCGTGTGCTGAGGAGGGTGCTTGGATGCATAGCCGAGGGTGTTGTTGTCATGGTTAGAGCATTTTGATTCTCTTTCAATTCACATGTGGACCGTTACCTCTAACTGCAACATGACGACGGTGCCGGTGGTGATAATATTAGTGATGATACTAGAACTTTGTTTCCCTGTTGGATGTTGGATAGCTCAAGATCCAAATCTCCCTGAGCCTTTGGAAATTTACCAATGGATTTGACGTCCACTTTGTTGTCCTGGATTCCTATCAATTCATGAACCATAGCCTGATAGGTCCATTGATTTAGCAACGGGGTTACAGGGTCATCCCTCCTGTCAATCACCAACAACAATGGAGAAAATTCCATTCGCCTAAAATCGAGAAGACCACTTTCCTCTTGGTACATCAGTTTAGCTGCTTCCTGTGCTATTATTTTTGCAATGTCAGATGTTCTTTGATATCTAATTACAGGTCTCCGTTTTAATGCCAAAAAAAGAGCAGCCAGACCTTCAACAACCCGATCACTGAAACGCTGCAATGCTGAAGGGTCTATGACAGCTGGGAGCATATAAATGTAATTTGAAGGCACGTGGAAAGTGAAATGATAAGGATCAATAGCAACAAAGTCTGCATAGAACTCCTGAACTTGCTGGACGACTTCCTGTTCATCTGAATCAGCAAGTAAGTGAATATGATGGTCCTTCATTATGTTGGAGAAAAATAGGTGATACTCTCCAAATCTAGGACTAGCCAGCTGACGGCGCATATACTGAATATTCTATGATGTAGGTCGAAGGAAGTAAATGGCCTTAAGATGCGACATTGGTTCGTTTGACTTGGAAATCGAATCCACCAATTCTACCAAAAACACTTCTTTCTGAAGAAGTTCTGACTGTGAGTACACAACACTCACAATACTTACCGTTTGAGAATCAAGGATTAGAACTTTCATGCCAGAGATGTCCTGCAAGATGCGGTTGAAGTAATCGCGCGCGGAGGATGTGAGAACCATGTTGTGTGTGGGAATTGAATCTCTAGAAGAAAGTGAATTGAAGAGGTTGCGAATCGACGAGTAGAGAAAGGTACTGAGACGAAGAAAGGTTCAGAGTTGAGAATTTAGAATTCAGATCCACCACCAGTGAGGATGACGACGAACGCTTGACGCACCGTTTTAGACTTGTTTGCTTCTTACCAACTCTTGTTATTTGATTCAACCTATGTTTGTGTATGTGGCTTTTATTCCCAGGTGTTGAGCTAATCGGGAAAGAATGTCGCTTGCTTGAAGCACGTTTGGATATTTGGTACCGGCTTTGGTTGTATAGGAATTCTGAGGGCGTAGCTGCTGAGCTTCAATGTCGTAACCTTTACCTTCATTAGCTATTGCTCGCGAAATTCAACAGTTCCAAATTGTCTGATATAGGTGGTGATTGTGTGGAGCCAAATGCGGCATCGCCATTTCCTTATACTTTTTGGTACGGTAGTTCCTGATACTTTTTGGTACGGTAGTTCCTGATACTTGTCTTTGAACACTGCCGTTAATTTTGACATGTTGCACTTGGCGAGGACACGTAGGGGATTCAATCTTTGACAACTTTGTTTGGCGCGTGGAGGTGGTGTTTAATCATATTGCTTGTAGCTGATATTGAAGGTTGGTTGTTTGTGCCAATGAAGTTTGTTTGCCATCACCTGATCAAGTCTCACCATGCTAAATTATTCTCGAATCTGTAACTGCAGTCCTTCACTGATTCTGTTCTGATTTTATTGTATTGCAGATCATCGAAAAAGAGGAGCTTTGATCGCGTAAGTAGCTTCTTTATTTGTTTATGTTCGACAAAGTCTGTGCTGCATTATCAACTCAAAACATGCCTCATTCTAATGTTGAAATCCAAATAATGGTATACATGGAGTTTTGTAGGTATATCCTTGTTCATGTTCCGAATTCATTTGTAGGGGGTTAGCTTGTTGTAAGCCGGTTTGCGGAGCGTGAAGTCCAATTCGGTAATCCCGTCTGAATTGTTTGAGAAGGAATCTGTTGAGCATGCTGCCTGTGCTGGTGCGCCTAGAAATTGCTGTCAATCCAAGCATCTTCGGTCAAAAGGGTGGCTTCGAGGCGCAAAAGCTACCTAGAAGTCTTCTTAAGTGGAAAACGTGAGGTATCTTTATAATCTTGATGATGTTAGGCCTGTTGTGACAGTTTGTTTTATTTTGGTCTTAAATCCATGAGATGCTGAGTCGAGTTATGATGAACATTGGGCGTTCCTGACTAATATCTCTTGATGTTCCTTTCAGTTGGTTATCATGGAGGTGCCGGCGGCGGGATTTTCTCATAATGCTAAAGCTGGCCGCAGAGTCCAAAAGAAGTTACAGGGGAGAAACACCTTAAAGCCTACAACCTCTGTTTTCCCAATGTAAACATGATATCAGATTTGTGTGATACTCAGCCGTGGGGATCCTAACTCCATTTAGTGTAGCTTTTGCCTTATGTAAAACTTGATGAAATGAATGTATTTTACTTTCAGAGTAAATAGTCTTGTAAAAAGTCTTTGAATGGTGATGAATGAATATAACTCTTGTACTTGAATTTTGACCTCTATCAATGCATTAGTGGGCCGGATCCCCTGTTGGATTAATTGACCAGTATTTGTGAAATGCTCTGAAGTTTTGCAATGCTTGATTCCCCAGTAAACGTAGCTTGGATGATCCACCAACTGAATACTTAGACTTGGGTTGGCTTCCTTAGAACTTTGTCATAAACATGCCTTTGATCTTTGTACTCCTCTTTTTGTTATGATAAAGCTAGCTGTTTGATGGATGTAGTATAAGGAAAGAAATGACCAAGTAATGTTGAGGTAGTTTGTCGAGGATCTAGTTGTATGAATTTAATGAAATCCTTCGTCATTTGTAGATTTACTAGAACAACTCAACCATATGCTGCGAAAAGGATGAGTCACTTGAGTAGTATAATAGGAAGCTTTTTCAATGTTGTGTCAAGTCTGATCCAAGCTCCATAATTATTTGCTAAACCATCCATGCTGAATTCTTCCTTTTCTTTACTAAAATTTGATGGGACCTGTCTTTCCTTATATGAATTATCCTTGAATTTGAATTCATTCTATCTTGCGCTAAAAACCTGTCAGGGGTGTCTTAAAAGGCAAGATGAACCTGCACATACTCGTTAGTTGTAAATAAAAATAAAGAGATAAAATGCGCTCAAACCAAAAGGAGGCGGAATCTTAAGGTCAAAAATTAGGGTGCAACACTCTGATTCCGTCCTTGTTAGGATACGTAGGCACAAGATCGCGAAGTTTAGGCAAGCATACTTAGCAATACTTTCATGTCTTTCCCCATAGAACATTTCCAATCAATAGCAAGCAAACAATAACATAATACAAATACAACAAGAGGTTCCTATAGAGTACTATAGATACTTATGGTGCTCATACCTTCCCTTAGTATAACGAACCCCCGAACCTCTAGATCTCTTCGCATTGTTGTTATATTGCATAATTAGGGTTTTATTCGATATTTTCCCTTTCCTTTGGATAAATTAAAGTTTGGTGGTGAACATTCAATGTTTTGTGATTCAAGTTAATACAATAGCTTGATATACGATTCTCACCGTAATAAACCTCCTTGGAGATTATCATACACCAACTTCTACAAAAGCATGAAGACACCAATCTGTGGTGGATAATAAGGCTAATCATGCAATCAATCGTTTTTTCATTCAATCATTTTCATTTGTAATCTTTTTTTGTTCGTCAAATGTTATTCACTTGTAAAATTCGTCTTTTTTCAAATGATAATATATTGAAATGAGCATGCATGTTTTGAATAAATCCATTTGCATTCACTCATATTTTATTTTTCGATATCACACTCTTGTTAAGGAAAAATCAAAAAGAGAATGATGAAATAAAAAAAACACGATATTACTGACTGAATGCTTTTGAATGAAACCTTACTAATGATGTAAGTGATTGTTTCAAATTCTTAAAAAATTGGAGGTTTAAGGAAGATAACCCCTAGTCAACCCTTTTGAGCCAAGGAGTAGGAGTTTCTTTCTATACACAAAACCCTTAATCTTAACCAGGGGCAGGGTAGTCATCAGTTAGTTTGACTTTGCGTTCAAATTTCAAAAGAGGATTACCCACATCTGAGGTTTGAAACTACAAATTCACAATGGTTGTCCCTAACTGACCAAAGGGACGAGGCAATCACAACCCTTATAAACTAGACAAACAAATGTCACACAATTCGTTCAAAAAAAAAGAGAATTTCAAAAAGAAAAAAATAAGAAAAAAGAAGAAAGCCCGCTAATCCAAAACTCGAAAATGAGGGACTTAGGAAAAAGTTAGGACACCCCGGTAGACTGCAAACAAAAAAATCAATCTGCACAAAAATCAGGGGGGGAAAAGAAAGACCAAAAAAAAAATTCAACCAGAGTAAATTCGTATGACAAGCAAACGATGGGTGACCGCCACTCCAAAACTCTCATTGGTTCCTTAACCAAAACTTCTACCATTCAAAATCCATTTGAAAGATGAATACTTGTGTCAAACTAGCTGAACGTAGGATTGGAGAACATCAAGGAGAATGGGTGGGTTAAAATAAATTTTGAGCCTTATATCCTTTCTTTCCGAAATCGTAAACCAGGCCACGTTACAACCCACTAAAGACCTAATTGAAGCAGGGTTTATTTAGAAAGCATACCACAGTAAAATCACGTCAAAGTTGACTCCTAGAGATTTGCTTAACATTTGTGTTGGTATTGATATGGCACCCTACTGGTGATGTATTCACTATATGTCATCATTTTTGTTAGTTCCATGGTTCTATGATATAGAATTGTCCATGGTTCTATGATTGGCTAAATTATGGTAAAACATGACTTTGCATTAATGTTAAGCAAGATGTCATTACCATAGTTATGACATCGCCAAAGGAGCAAGCAGGAGCTGGTGAAAGAACTGTTGTGGAGTAGTTTAATGTGAATGTCATGTTGAATGTCGTGACATCCATCACGATATCCATCTGCTGTCATGATAGAACTACTGTCATGTGTGAGAAACAGCAGAAGTAGTGGTGCAGCAGGAGCTAGCAGGAGCTAATAACAGAACTGCTGTCATGTGTTGACATCTGGTGCAGCAGGAGCTATGTGCAGTAGGAGCTTGCAGCAGGAGCTAACGAGAAAAGATGACAGAACTGTTGTCATGGATGAACTACTGTCATGGATGTCATTACCAAAGTAATGACATAGCTTTCTGGCACAGCAGGTGATGATATGTGTTAGCAGTAGCCACAACAGGTTGAGTGTGGTGAAGTTCCTCACAGGTAGTGAGAGAGGTGCGCAGCCACAACTGTTAGAAGTGTGATGAAGCTCCTCACAGGCAGTGTGAGGTGTGCAGCCACAACAATGTGAGTTGTGGTGAGTGAGGTGTGTTGTCATGTGTTTTTAGCAAGACATAGTTGCAAGACATAACTGCATGACAACAGAAGGAGCTTCTAGTGTATATCTCTTGACAGAATTGGTTTGGATTGATGAGACCATGTTGAAAATACCTCATCAGTAAATATGTCAAGGAGATGGATTAGGAACAAGAACAGATTGTATTGGTATTCATAAAAGGATCTTGCATACCTTTTAGGAAACTTGAATATACTTGTTTCTAATATTATTCTGCAGAAGATTGGGAGAAACCATGACTGTCATGATGAAGATTTTGCAGAAGTGTGCAGCAGTGCAAGTTGGTCAGCTAAGAGTGAGTAAAAGCTAAATGTCATACTGAATGTCATGACATTGATCGTATGACATCAGTCGTGCAGGCATGTTGGTTTTTCTGTTATCTTAGGCTAGATTTCAGGAGACTTGTTATGACCCTTGAGTTATCTCAGGAGAGATTCAAGGCAATGTTGGCCATGCCATGACCTAGTTGGACAGCACCTTGAATTGTGGAAATTAGTTTTATTTTATTAAAACTAATATTTGTTACTTCTGCACAACCCAAGCCC